TGTAGTTACCTCATCTTTTATCACATCTTTACAACCAACAGTTAAAAATGCTGAAATAAAAACCATCTGTGTGGTCTCCCATTGCGTAGTGGTTAGTGCACCAGCCATTAACCCCGACATCCCCATTCCCTGAATCCAATCATATAAGAATGGCCCAAAATGTTTTATTAAAAAATAAAATAAACACTAATTTGACAAAAGAATATCTTAAATTAAGATCAAATTACCACTTGTTTGCAGACTTATCAGGATGTAGTAGCACCATCTCAATGCATGTGTTTTGTGCGAAGAAGCAAACACAGAATGGTTATTAAAACCAATCCCACGATGACGTCACATACCAAAGTCCTCATCCCTGCTATTAAACCCAGTTTTATGATAGAGAGTAGTTAGAGAGTAGTGAGCAGGCAGTGAACTCTGACCTGGGGAGTATCTCATGACAGACAGCTGCTCGTTGCCATCGGTGGATTCAGAGACCACCTCTCTAGTCAGGAGGTCCAGGACCATCCACCTGCAGGAAGAATTGATTACAATGTTTGTAATACCATATTTTACAGCAAGATTTAGTGAAGCTAGTCTTTTCACTCTCTTTGAGTCACATCTGTATATTATATTCTTTCTCCTCCGCCCATACGCTCAGCAAGCACTTTATTACACCTGTATAATCAGCCAATCATGTGTCAGCAGTTCAGTCTGCAAAATCCTGCATATACAGGATTTTCACATGTTGAACATAACAAACTGAATCTATTTTCATTGTCTGATACAACGTTTTTCAGCTCATAGACTGCTTTAAGTCTAATATTGTGTGGTTGTCCTCTAACAGGAAGGTCGGCGGTTCAATCCCATCTGCATGCCGCATTGTCCTGAGGCAAGATACTGAACTCCAAATTGAACCTCATAGAAAAAAAGTGCTACCCATAGATGTGTGAATGGCAAAAAACTGTGCTGTGCTGTTTTGAGTGAGCATCAAGCCTAGAAAAACCCTATAAATACAGACAGTTAAAATACAGACCATTTACATTACCTTCCTGTGCTGAGGCCGACTGACACCACTGATCCATTAGGGCAGAAGTCAGCACACAGTCCATATTCCTGTCAAGGACAAACAGGGGTATTCAGAACAGAACTGTCAGTGCTGAGTCTCAAGTATAGTATAAACACTATTACTGTTTTCCGAAAAATGTCCTCACTGCGAATGAAGTTGGTGCATTATGGGAAAATGGTTCTCCTACCTCCAGGCTGATGCACCAGTCCAGCTTATGTTCCTCTGTGTTCCACAAACACACCTGCCTGTCATGACCACAGGTGAGGAATATGCTCTGGGAGGGGTGTGTGGCCAGTCCCCACATCTCATCTACATGACCCTGAGACACATACCCACAAACGAAGTGACACAACATAATCAGTGTTCATCTTTTTCAGTAAAAGATGAAATGTGTGGTTGCCGGTATCCCAGTGCCTTAGGTGATCAATCTTCTGAGAACAACTGATCTTAGAATTTAAAATTCAATTCTATGGTGTGAGTGTGCTGCTTCGGAGGATGTGTGTATGCTGAAAAGTATGCAAAGATA